CTAGATGCAGCCCATTATGCGCCGTGACAATTTGCGACAACTCGAAGCCATGTCCATTTGAAAACCTTACCATGTGCAAATCATCTGTACCGTTCAGACAATATAACAATGAAGTCTAGTTCGTCCGAAGCAACTTGGAGAAAAAATTGAATTCGATTGGCTGCAGCCAATTACTAATTTTCCGAAAGGACGGCAAAAAGACAATGTCGCCCTCTCGTCTTCAAGTGGTCTTTATGCAAGAATCAGTCACGGTTCAGTTGGTTTGCAAGATACCGAGTGACACTTAACCAGAAAATAAATAGACAGTTCGACGAAATGGAAATAGACAAAGAATTTTGGAAGGAATTTACATGAGTTAAAAACTGTATAAGAATATTATTGCATGAGGAAGTTCCAAGGACAGGAAGAAGATAATAAAAGAGAAAGCAATGACGGACGAAAACCAGATTCAACGGACGAACGATAGGTCGATGCATTACCGATGTTCACAGGAATGCGGGGGAAGGAAAGAAGAGGGACTAGTGAGGGTTTTCTTTGTTGAAAGAGTCAATGTTGAAAGCAACCGACATTGTTGAGAGAGAGATGGAATGTTTTGTCCATTATATGTATATCCAATTCATTGTAACTCATAATCCTCAATCGTAATTAATTAAACTTTTATATTTTACATTAATAACATACTCTATATATCGTTATTTTTTAAAAATGAGTTCTGACGAGTTAGAGAGTGATTATACAGACGTGTCAGAAAATTCATCTTCCAACGATGAAGTTAGCAGTACATAGTCTGATACAGAAAATGTGGATATGAGTACAGCAACAGATTGGTATGCCATAAATACAATCAATTATTCTCTAAGGCCTGCCAGAAAGTTCGTTGAATTTTGAGACAGATGAAGATGTATGCAAGGATGTAATGAAATTTATCAGGCTGTTTTTAGACAACGATTTTTTCGAAATTGTTGTGCGAGAAACAAACAAGTAAGCAATAAAAAAAGGCAGTTCGTAACTGGGAACCCGTCAATAATGAGGAAATGATTATTTTTCTAGCTGTAAATATGTTGATGTCACTAGTGAAAAAGGTAAATATCCAACAATATTAGACCAAACAACATATTATCGAAACGTTTCTTCAAAATTATGACAAGAAAACAATTCATCTAAACAAAAAAAAAATTTGCATATCAATGATGACGATGATTTTGACAGTAAAAAACTTTATAAGATTTGGCCAATCTTAGACTTGCTGCAGAGACGATTCCAAGAAGTATACACGCCAGAACAAGATGTAACTATTGATGAAAGTTTGCTAATGTTCAAAGGGCGCCTTGGATAGAAGTAGTATTGAAACGTGCCAGATTTGGCATAAAATCGTTTTTACTATGTGAAT